GCAAGAATTTCTTGGGATAGTAATGTCACAGTACCCTGTGTGACTAAAGATGATTTCTCTTCTCAGGAATGCTGGGGGCCTGGAATCCTTTTGTTTACTCTTAATCATGCACACCTTATCAAAAGCAAGGGTGGGCTGTTAAGCACTTGCCCATTATCCACCAAGAGGATCTTAGAGCACTAACCAGTCTTCTAAAAAAGTTTTAGAGTAATGGGAACCAATAGAGGTAAATTTTGCCAGACAGGGAAACTATAAAGGTCTACACTGGAGACCGTCTGTAAGGGCACCTGGGATAAAATGGGATGTGATCGTCACTGTGTGTCTATGAGAGTGTTTCAGGACAGATAAGGGACAACATAAAACTGGTGGCCATTTTGGGATGAGAAGTCAATTACATTACACGGGGATTGAAGAACTCTGATTATGAATTTTACTTATTTTGAAACTTTTCCTTGGGCTATTCCCGCTGGTGAAAGGTATGTGAAGTTTATTAGTCCTCCTTATGGAGAAGAGAATTATCATTTATTGAGCATGTACTTTGTGCCAGGTGCTATGCTATGTATTTGTTCCTTATAACGGACTTGTAAGGTAGATGCTTTAATTATCTTTACCTTTTAAAATCTTGGTTTAATATTTGCAGATGATGGGAATATAGTTCAGATTGGCTAAGTAACTTAACCAAGGTTATACTGCTAGTAAACGGTAGCGCCAAAATTCAAATCTACGGCTATGTGACTCTGGAGCTCCTGTTCTTGCATGAGGCTGTCAAAAGGAATATGTTCATGTTCTGAGCATTTGGCATTTTGTTGTCCATAATAAGAGGGGGAAGTTGGGATGATAAATAGATGATGCTTCTCATAATGACAATTATAATAGGCAAGGTACTGGGTGCTTGTTATGTACCAGGCATCAAGCTATCCACTTTATATGTATTATTTAATTTTCTCAACAGCCCCGCCAGGAATGGATTGTTATTAGTTTCGTTCTTCAGATAAAGACAGAATGATGGAGCTGTGAAGTAACATGCTCAAGGCCACACAGCTAGAAAGTGGTCGAGCTCCTGGCCAGGTGCAAGGACTCCAGAAAGAAAGCCAGCAGCTGAAGGTTCTGCCCACAGAGCAGGCCCAGCCGGGCAGTGACGGGTACCTGAGTATGGGAAAGACAAGTTGAGAGGTCTACGCTCACTTGTACATCTCATTCCTAGGGCTGTGCGGTCAAAGTGTCCAGCTCACTACTGTGCTGTATGTTCCCACATTTCCTCTGCTTTAGGGCATCGCTTGACCCTAAAAGGGGTGATGAAATTCCCAGATATGGGAAATAAAGAGTAGCGATGAGACTTTCCTTTGGTATTGCCAAATAGGGGCAGAATAGTAGGCTGTTTAAAGTTATAATAATCTGGGTCCCCAAGCATTTCTCCCAACAGCCTGTCATGGGCTGAAAATTCCGCCTGAGAAATTCAGTCTTGGATTCTTGAAGGCATTTAGGCTTTCCTGTTTAGTAGACAAACATCTTTATGGAGATGATCATGATCTCAAATGCCTTCAGGGCTAGGCAGGTAACTCACTTTTGAAGGGGATGGGGTAAGACAAAAAGGTGAGTTGGTTGCTATGGCAACCTGGAGCCTGCTTGCCCTGCCCACGGACATTTACAACATGGCGTGCCCAAAAGTCTCCAGACCTCCTGTCAAAGGGTAACCTAGTTTTTTCCTCCTAATTATCAAGGTTCATTGTAGAATATGTGGGGTGTAAAAACTACGGGAAAGGCTAAATAAGCAAAATCCTCCCCATCCACCGGAAGTATTATTAACATCTTGGTATATTGCCTTCCAGTTTATTTTTCCTTTTTGTCCGAGGGTAAAAATCCTCATCAGTGGCGTCTGCCCTAAAGAAAAACCTTTGAACCTCAGTGAAGAGATATCTAAGGTAAAAATAAGGATATTGCTAGATCACACTTCAGACTGAGAATTAGCTACTGATAAGACCCCGGGAAGATATAATCCAGAGAGAGAGGTACAAATAGTAAAATATAAGAGGGTAAATTGGGGGTGAGGACAAAAACAAGTTCATGGATTTGCCAAAGGAAACTGACCAGAAACCATCTTGAGCAGGAGGCCTCCAGGGAGGGGCCGGCAGAGCAGGAGGCACCAGGAGCACCTTAAAGTTGGCCATATGGATACGGGCTGGGGGCGAGTGTTAAATTAAATCCCCTCAGAATTCCTCTCTGGCCATCCCACCTTCATCCTCCAATCTGTTTAAGATGAATCAATCTACTTAGGAAATTAAAAAAAAAAATCAACGCCAGGAACTTTTTTTCCGGGAAGACCTTAGGAGGAGACTATTGATGTAAACAGAATAAAGTGAGCTGTCTGTTTTGAAGAGGGTTGGGGGACCTGGAGCCCTCCCCACCCTGCAACCCTGAGCTCGCCCCAAACAGTGTTTGAAACCCCACATTTTCTCCTCGCTACTTGGCCTCCCTCAGACGAGCGGTGTTTTCCTCTCACAACTTCTAGAACGCCTGCAAATCGCTGATCCGGGTGACCCTCATTTCATTCTTTGGCTCCTCTCCACGTTCGCTCTTCCTCAGTTTGACAATCTCCTCTTGTCGGGTTTTAGATGCGTATTGACTTTTGCAAAACTTCCCGAGCCATTCTCAGAGAGAGATCGACTGATTTATGGTCGAGGGGGAAGGGGTTTAGCTATTTTAGATGTTAGTAAACATGACAGCTTGTTGAGGATTAACAGGAAATCATGAATAAAATCATTGGAATTTGATAAGGGATTTTTCTCTCAGATAATTAAAGATTTTTTCCCATTATCTCCTCCCCCCCCCAAAAAAAGAGTAGAGGATGAAGGTCATTGGGATAATGTGTTATTAGTCTCATACCCTTAAAATAGATAAAAGACACAAGTCCTTAAGCCCTGACGGCCCGCGGGGCCTCTGTGAACTGTTCTTGCCATTTTGGCATCTTTTCAGCAGGCGATACTTTCCTTTAATACCTCCTTCTTAATCCTCAATTTTCTTTTAAACATCAGATATTGGATAGGCTGGAACCTCATTTAGGCAGTAAAGAACTCTAGTGCTTTGTGGCCGGGACCAGCCAAGGAGAGAAATATTTTTGATACAAAAGAATAATTCATTAAAGGAGATAATGAAGGCGATTTAAACCTTCCACAAACACTCGCCGGATGAATAAAGCTCGTCACTCCTCAGTTCAGGGTCATGGCTGAATGAAATGTTGTAAAAGGCAAAAAAAAAAAATAAACCAACTGCACAAATGGGTCAAAAATCTCACTGGGGCTCAGTCAAGCCTGACAATTTACAATTTGACAAACAAGCAGAAAAAAAAAAAAAGAATTCCATTAATATTATGAGAAAACCCCTCTGGAATAAAGCACTAAATTTCCATGTTACTTTTTCATTCATGTGCGCTTACATGGTCTTAGGGAAAAATCTGACTTTGAGCTGAAATTTTGCTTATCCAATTATGGCTCAGGGGATCGCTCTCACACACACTTGGCCAGAAGTGCATATTGTCCCATAAACCAGCATGAACAGTTTGGATAGAGGAGGATGCAGTAGTGAGAGGTCAGAGCTGCAAGAATTGGGCATTTGTGCCTTAGGGTCAGCCGATTAGAGTCCAGCAATGAGCCTCGTCCACAGGAGTGGAGATGACCAGGCGTCTACTGGATAGATCTGGACTGGTAGACATTTGTCCACTGACTCTGTAGCTTGAAGAATTTAACATGAAGAGTGGCACGTGTTAACTGTTGAGAGAGGTATCTTGGACTGTTCTTTCCCCTTTGTTTCTTCAAAGAGAATTTAAGCTATTTCTTGGGGAAATTAAGAAATCATCCACTTATCTCATAAGATGGGTCTCATAGGAGGTCTCCACCAGGGTCATTCAACTAACAAAGAGAAATCCTGGTATTGAAGAGGTGAAGGGGACTGTAGAAACACTATTTCAGCTCTCCATCAAGTATAAGAAAGCCCCATGCTACATCTCTCCTGGGTGGATTTCCAACCTCTACCAGAACGTTTTTAGTGCCCAGTTACTCATTGCCACATAGCGTCCATCCTCTGGTTGGATAGCATTGACCATGAGGAATTCCTTTCTTGGACTGAGGTAAATGCTTGATTATTCATAAACTGGCTTCCATTCTCTTTAGGAAAAACACCCAGTGTATCTCTTAACATGACAGCCTTTCAGATGCTATGTCTCACTCAGTGTCTTCTTCTCAACCTAAACCTTCTAGTTTGCTCAACTCAATGACAAAATCCTAAATCCACTGAGATTTAGGGAAGAAGGATGGAAATCTGGTGGAAATCACTCTCTCTCTGTCTTTCTTTCTCCCCACAATTATAATTTTTTTCTGAACTATTTGAGAATAACTTATAGACATTCACATACTCCAATTGTGAATTTCCTGAAAACAATGATATTCTTTTGTATAACCACAGTATATCAAAATCTAATATACATTAATAGAATACTATTAGTTAATCTACAGACCTTATTCAAGTTTTACCAAGTGCCTTTTGTAGCAAAAGAAAAAAATTGCTCTCTGGCCCAGGATATAAATTATAATTATGTGTTGTACTTACATATCATGACTTTTAGTCTCCTTTAGCTCAATTCCTTGGTCTTTTTTTCCGGTTATTTTTGCCTTTCATGACCTTGACATTTTTGAACAGTACAGATCAGATGTTTCATAGCAAGTCCGTCATTTTGGGTTTGCTGATTTTCCTCGTGGCTAAATTCAGGTTATCGTTTTTGGCAAGAATACCGTAGTTGATGCTGTGTCTTTCTCCGTGCATCGTATCTGGTGATGTTGACTTTGATCACTTTATGAAGGTGACATCTGCCAGTTTTCTCCACTGGAAGGTTATTACTGTTTCCTTTATAATTGATAAGTCTCTTGTGGGAGGTCCACTGAGACATTCTCAGGCAGGTGCGGCCAAGAGAATCTATGACTGATGTTGCCTTTTCCCATTGGTTTCAGAGTCTAACAGCCGCAGGGCGGTGAACAGAGGCTATGTTGTTGGCTTGCTCAGGCTGCATCAGGACTGGCACAGCCATGACACGGCCAATACCTACGTGCTGATCCGCCGGGGGCTTCTGCTCTGCCTCAAGCACATTGCCGCCCTCCGGTCTGGCAGGGAGGCCTTCCTGGCGGCTCAGGGCATGGAGACCCTCTTCAGCACCACACAGGTATTCAGCCTTGGGATTACCTCTGCGGGTGGGGGACACCTGGCTGATTTAGGAATCCTCCTGAACAGAGCTGGGAAAACCTCTGTAGGTTTCTTGCTGCCTGCCATGGGCAGATGTTGTGGATTCAAATCCACATTCATTCATTCTCTCATGCATTGATTGACTCATTTATTCAATACATACTTATTGGGTACACACTGTATGGTGCTGTGGCTGAGTGTTGACTCTAAAGCTAGAGAACCTGGATTCAAATCCTAACTCTGGCACCTACAGCTGTGACACTTTGGAGAAGTCACCCAACTTCTCTGGGCCTCAAGTTCCTTCTTCTTAAAAAAAAAAAAAAAAGGAGGGGCCAACCCAGTGGTGCAGCAGTTAAGTGCCCATGTTCCGCTTTGGTGGCCTGGGGTTCGCCGGTTGGGATCCTGGGTGCGGACATGGCACCGCTTGGCAAGCCATGCTGTGGTAGGCGTCCCACGTATAAAGTAGAGGAAGATGGGCACAGATGTTAGCTCAGGGCCAGTCTTCCTCAGCAAAAAGAGGAGGATTGGCAGCAGATGTTAGCTCAGGGCTAATCTTCCTCAAAAAAAAAAAAAAGGAAATAAACTCTAGGTTGTTGTGTGGTCTAAGTTAATGTAGAAATGTTTTGTGCTTAGCAGATTGCTTGCCACGCCTTCACTGCTCTCTGAGTGTGAGCAGTTATTGGAATAATTACCACTGCATAATCTAGTGGTGAATATGACATCAAGACCTCTGATCTTGCGGGGCAAACATTGTAGCAGGGGAGTCAGACACTAAGGAAGCAAAGAATTTAATGAGGAAGATAATTTTATATTGCTCTGTGAAATCAATGGAGCGTGAAGGCCTACTGGGACTCCCGTGAGTGGAGGGAGAAGGTGTTCTGTTAGAGAGGGCAAGTCTCCTCTGAGCAGGTGACCCCTAAGCTGAGACCTGAATTATTGAAGGAGCTGGTCACGCCGAGTTTAAGAGGAAGAATATCCCAGGCAAAGAGAATAGTACCTGTGAGGGCCGTTGCTTATCTGCACCCCAGTGGAATATGTGTCTAGAGTTTCATGGATTTCAACCCAAAGAACAAATTCCTTGATTTCACTTGATCAGGGCTAATTTACACACCATCATGTGAGGCTACACACACCCTCTCTCCTTATGATGTGAACATCTCCCGAATACCCACCATCTGCTCACCCGCCTTCTCCGGGGGCCAAAGCAGCCATGTTTCATATGCATTCTGTTCCTTGCTGTCTTCATATTAGCCCGTCTCTGTACTCCCTTCCTCAGTCTCGTCGCTCTTCTCTGAATACGCTCCAGTTTTTCTCTACCTGAGTCCATCCGAGGTAATGAAGCAGTCAACGAGAGCGCGGTTTTCCAACCGTGGTATCTGTAGACTTTTCCCATTAAAAAAAATAGCCTGTTTTTGCTCCCTCTAAACAATAACATAATACTGTGCTGCAAACCAATATCTAATTTTCTATCTGCTGTCACCTCTGGGTTTCTCTCCATCATTATAGCTTTCAGAGTTTCTCTGTCATGAAATAGCTGCATTTTACATTCTATTCCTCTGGATGAGGAAGTGCTTTGAATTTTTGGAAGCTTCCCCTTATTTTATAAGCTTGTGTCCCCCACGTCTCTAATCTCTCCCAGTCTTAGTGACACAGCCTCCTGCACTGTTGATGCCCCGCAGCCCCCTACCCCGGCTCGTGGCTTCAGCCGGTTCCTCTGCCTTGTGTATTATTGGTTGTTTCTCTGTTCTGTGTTACAAAAAACAATTAGAAGGGCAATGAAGGAAGAAGATGGTGATCCCAGAGGTACTTGTCTATGGTAAGAAGAGGTGGAGAAAATACCAAGTGAAGCCCAGGCAAGAAAGGGGCTGTGAGTCCAGAAGCAGGATCTTAGAAGCTGTTCACAGCAGGTCAATGAAGACCTCAACTGCTCCACTAAGCAAATTTATGACAAGCTTCCAGCCTCCAGTTACTGTGGGGAATGGAAGCAGGGTGTGAGCGGAGGCAGGATGTGCACCTGTGCCAGGTTTCCCCGGCCTGAAGAGCCTCCAGCACCTGGCTATGTGCACAGATGCCACTGCAGCTGTGCTGGAGTGTGAGCTGCCCATCAATCCTCTCCCCTCTTCTGCCAGAGAAGGCTTGTGAATCCAGGATGGCCAACTTGGGAACCTCGGATCTGGTGATGTCATTTCAGTGGCTATTTGTCAATTATAGTGATGATGATGATGGTGATGCTGCTGCAGCTGATGGTGACGACAAAGATGGTGATGACAATGATAACGAAGGAGAAGGAGGAGGAGGAGGAGGCAGAGGAGGAGATGAGATTTGTATTGAGTGCTTACTCTGACCTAGGGCTGGCTTAACAGTTTACACAGACTTTCTGATTTCAACGCTTTAAAAGATTTGAAACCAGTGGTCTTTCTCAAAAGGCCATGCTTCTGTGCACTGCACCCGTGGTTCTCCAAGTTGAGTGTGCGTCAGAGTCCCCTGGAAGGCTGCAAGGGCCCCATCCTCAGAGTTTCTGATTTGGTAGGTCTGAGGTGGAGCCTGAGAATTTGCACTTCTAACAAGTTCCTGAGTGCTGCTGATGCTGCTGGTCTGGGGACCACAATTGAAAACCAGTGTCCTGTACTATTTTTACTTGTGTTTATGATGTAGTTACAAACCTACTGGGCATGAAATTGACTGAGAAAGAGCTATTTTTGAGTCCTTCCCACAGCCTCTGCCCATTATATTCTTTTTTTTTTTGAGGAAGATTAGCCCTGAGCTAACTTCTGCCAATCCTCTGCTTTTTTCTTGCCAAGGAAGACTGGCCCTGAGCTAACATCCATGCCCATCTTCCTCTACATTATATGTGGGATGCCTACCACAGCATGGCTTGCCAAGTGGTGCCATGTCTGCCTCTGGGGTCCGAACTGGTGAACCTGGGGCCACCGAAGCGAAACGTGTGCACTTAACCGCTGCTCCACTGGACGGCCCTGCCCATTATATTCTTCTTTGCCTTTCTACTGAGGCCGCTACCTGCAGTCTTTCTCTCTCAATGACTCCACCTCTTTGTTTCCTGGGTCGCACATTCTTGCACAGACCCTCTAAGCATCGCTTAAACGTTCAAGGATCAGATTGTCCGTAATGCAGTGAGGGTGCTATGTAATTTTGTTGGAGCTTTGTATGAGGAAGGAGGAAGAAGAATGACAAGTTGAATGTAAGGTCAAAAAAGAATCCCTGCAAGGATGCCCTGAAACAGTTTGAGATAGTTATCAATTTGGAGAAATGGGTAATTGCAGATGGAACCAACTTGTATGACATAACGTGGTAAAGAGGCCACACTTTGGAGGTGGAACAGCTTAAGAGACCTGAAAAGTTTCTAAAATTGGTGGCTTTCAAACTTGAGCATGCATCAGATTTACCCAGAGGGCTTGTTAGTGCACAGATTGCTAGACCCCTCTCCCAGAGTTTCTAATTAGTAGGACTGAGTTGAGATACAAGATTCTGCATTTGTAACAAGTCCTTAGGTGATGTTAAGGCTACTGGTCCGGGCACTTCACTTTGAGAACCACTACAATAAGCAGTGATGGCCTTTGAAAAGTTGAACCTACTGCCATAGGCTCAGAAAGAGTGGCAGGCCAAGCCTTTCTTCCTCAAGACCCTTTTTGTCCACAGGACCAGTTACCCCAGCATTGTGAATCTGTGGAAGGAAAGACTGAATCTTAAGGGAAATGTCACCCAGTTAGAATCAGGAGCTAGATATGCTCGAGGTCAGATCGACCTGAGATCATTTATGATTTATTCAGTGTTTCCTGAGCTCCTGCTTTGTGAAAGTTCTTGGGGTTAGGTTATATAGGGAGCTCAGAGATGGTGATAAAGTTCCCATCCTCCTCAGAAAGCGTACCATCTTATAGGGAAAACCAGGATAGGTGTAGTGCAGGCAGCAGGTGGGATATAAGAGTGGCATTGGTAAAGCCACGCAGAGGAAGTAGAGCAACACTTGGTCTTGGCTGACCAGAGAAGGCTTCAAGAAGGAAGTCATTGTCATTTGGGCCAAGCCAGGAGAACACCCTGAAAAGCCTGAGAGAAACAGCTTGGTTCATGCACTGCCCAGGGAAATGAAAGGAGATATCCAGGAGGTAAAGATGGGAGAGAAAAGCAGTACAGAACTGGTGGGACAGCTAAGACATTTTGGAGAGTCAGGCAGAAGGAAAGACCTGGGCAAGAATGAACCGGAAGGTCCCAAACTGAGGGTGTTTCGTGTAAGACATTTCTAAATTGAAGCTACACCACATCTGTTCTGGACCTTAGAATTTGCCCATCTATGTCCAAAGAGTTTCTGGAGAGAGAGGAAGGAGCAGGGCTACTGCCAACTGTGGTCAAAGAGAGGCTCCCCAAGCCGAAACGTGAATGACAAGGAAGAACCAGTAACCTGGCCATGAGGGATCCAGGGAGGAAAAAGAAGGCAAATGCTAAGGCCCTCAGGTAGGGGGGTGGGGTGGGGAGTGGGCAAGCCTGAGAAATGGGGAAGCTGGTGTGGCAGAACCGTGATGAGGAAGAGTGGGAGGCAACGAGATGAAGCTGGAGACATCGGTGGGACCAGAGCATCTAGGGCCCCCTGGACCATGACAAGGAATTTGGGTTTTATTTCCATCAGTTTTTAATTGTGGCAAAATTCATATAACATAAAGTTGCCCGTCTGAGCCAGTTGTAAGCATACAGTTCGGTAGCGTTAAGCACCTTCACACTGTTGCATAACCAATCTCCAGAACTCTTTCCACTGCAGAACTGAAACTCTATCCCTATTAAACTGATTTATGCTTTTGAAGGACCATTCTGGCTGCCGTGTGGAGAGGAGAGCATCAGAGGGCGCAAGAGGAGGGAGACAGGGTTAGGAGGGCAGGGGGTGGAATTAGACTCTGGGAGTTCAGGCGGGAGATGCTGATGGCTTTAGCTAGTTACAAGCAGAACTGGAACTTAAATCCAGCACTCCTGGCTCTTAGTCAGGCTCCTTTTCCACTAAGATGTCTCATTTTGTTATGATGAGGACTATTCCCAGGAATCTGTCCTGAGTAGCAGTGGCTTCCTAGTACTGCTTTCAGATTCTGAGGGGATTTTATGAGCCTGATGATGCCTGATGCCTACTGACCTCCCACTAGCTAACAATCACTGAGTGCTTACCATCGGACAGGCTCTGTGCCTACTTGTACTCATTTAGTTCACATACGCCTGATGAGAGAGGTTCTGTTATGATCTTTTCTTTACAGATGAGGAGCCTGTAGCACAGAGAGGTATAGTAACTTGCCAGGATTCTGCAGTTAGAAACCTTCAGCCCAGGATTTGAATTCAGGTCATCTTGCTCCAGGAACTGAGCTGGGTGCGATTCCTCTGTCCTGCCTAGGGATCATGCCAGTAGAGTATTTATTATCTCGAAGATAAGTAAAGACATTAACTGCATATTGAATAGTTTCAGCTCTCTCATATTACATCATCTTTTGCAAGTAGCACGTGTATTATCGAGAGTGAAGGGAAAAGTGAGCCTAAAAATCTCACTTTTGCTCCCAATTCCAGGACATTTGTCCAGAAGGATCCTATTTCTCGGAGTCTTGTCATCTTATGAGACACAGCACCAGCCCCAACCCTGCCCTTGCAGGGCCGTGAGAGTGAGAGCCCCTTAAATTTTGCATCCTGGGCACCTCATTTGCCTCATCTTGGTCCCAGCTCTGCACAGCACCTATCCATCAACACTAGGAAAATGTTGGCAAGTGGGTCCAGGCATTTCTAGTACCCTGGAACCCAGGATCATCTTTACATTCATAAATTTTTCCCCAGAGTATGGCAGACACCAAATATAACATTATTCTGAATGCCTTGGTTTCTGTTTTAATATCCTGTTTGTCCTCCAGATTCAGTTCATGGTGTGGCCTAACCTAACAGGACACTTGAACTTGCTTCCATCTTTCCATTCTCTTTTCACCTGCACCATTCCATGAGAAGCAAAACACATTATCATCATTACCATCATCAACAACAATACCAACGACAATGAGAGACAGACCTGGCTTCCAAAATGTTGGCAGTTTTGACCGAGTTCCCTGGCTTGTCCTTGGCTCATTTCTGCTAAGCTTGAAGCTCGGAACATTATCTCTGATCACCCATCTACCTCCCCTTTCTTCCTCCTCCATGCTCGGTTCTCTTTTTCTCCAACACTAATACTTTTTACCAAGCACTTGAAACCACCTGACCAGTCCCAAGGATAAAATGGCCTCAACTAACTCATTTTCCACGGAGAGCATTTCCTGATGTGGGTTCAGGACTCCTGATTGGTACCATTTGAACACTCAGAGGGAGAGGTAGCATTCTTGATCGTATTAAGACATTTCTGGTTTGAAAGGTGGCTTACTTTAATTATATTTTGGAATTATTTGGGTAGTTCAAATTCATGGCTAAAAGTTTATTAATTTCTTTCTTCGTGTTCTTTCGCATGGAGCTACTTATCATGTGGGCCTGAAGATTCCATAGCATGACATCATCACAGACAGTCACCCCGCCCTGTGGCAGGTGCTCAGTGTCCTCCGTAGCATCTGCTGTGACTAATTGGCCTTGGAGCTTGCTGGAAATCCCTTAGGAATATCCACCTGGAGGCTCACACTGGTCAACTTTCTGTACCAAGTCAGTAGACAAAACATTTACCAAGAGTCTGAAGAAAATGGCTGTGTTTTTGCCAAAGAGATACCCCCAACTCTCTCTCTCAATTTAATAAGCTTGTTCTTACATTTTTTACTGCATCTGAAAAGAAGGATCTTGTCATGTTCCATCAGTATCAGAACGCTAACATTTGCAAACCCAATTTCTCTTTGCTTTGGGTGGGTACCAAGAGGGATCAACACTGTGAGCTTTGAGAAAAGGCGTGTTATTTAATTTAGGTACTTGGGATTCACTTAGTCTTTCCTCTTGACTTCGTATTTTATCTTTTTCCTTTCTGTTTTTCTCTCCAGATAGCAGCTGAAAGAGAAAAGTAAGACTTCCATCAATTCACCTACTCATTCTCTAATTTAGGCAATAACTCACACTGACACATGCATGGCTGAGGGAAGATGCTCACCTCCTCTTCCCTTAGCTATCCTGGATGACATCTTCCCTTAGGTGCAGCATCCTTTGAAAGACTTTCAAGTCTGTTTTCAGACTAAATTCATTCCCATAACATAGGAGCTGCAGGAAAGAAAGAAAAATGCAGATTATACGGTGGACCAAAGCAGATTCTATATTAGACAAAATTCTACATGAGAATGTTCAAATTAGACATTCTACATTAAGGATGTTTACTATCTGTCTAGGATGTGTGTAATTCATTACCTGAAATACGGTTATAATGGGACTCTATACAAGATTTCAGTGTCTGATATCTTCTCTTTGTTCAGAACTGCCTGGATGACAAAAGCTTGGAACCTGTCATCTCCATCGTGCTTCAGATCCTGAGGCAGTGCTATCCGAAGAGTCCTCTTCCCTTGGTCACAGCCAGCAGTGCTTATGCCTTCCCGGTCCCTGGGAGTGTCACCTCTGACCCTCCATGTGTTCTAACTGAAGGTAAAGAAAGTGGGTCACTATGAGCTTTATGATGAGTTTTTACATTTTGACGATATTTCAGAAAAATGCGGATGAAAGTAGAATCAGTTCTTTAATAGGTCAACCACGATTGTCCGATAAGCTAATTAGAGATATCTATGAAAAAGCAAGCTTTTCATATACAGGCTGAACAAATGCCAAGCTCACTTATTTTGTCCTTCATTATTAACTGTTGCCACTTTGCCTGGTGGCCATTGAAAGCCTGTAGGGTCATCTCAGCTAATTTTAAAAAAGTCTATTCACAATCCCACGATTGAGTCTCTCTGCTGTGTGTGCTGGTTCTGGAATTAATTTGCCCTGTGGATGAAATTGAAGTAAAACTATTGCTACTTACAACCCTATGCTAGTCATATTAGAATATCTGAAAGTATTGTTATCCAGTCTCCAAGAAGATTTTGTTGCCAAAAGATTCTGGTGCTTTCCAACCTCGTCCTCCTTCCATAGAACAGATTTTCCATAGGCATCATCTTGCCACAACGGTAGTAGGTGATTTCTATGGACTTTTGTTGAAAACAAGTTTCGTCATATCAAAATTAGGGAGTCAGTCAAGGTGCTAAGTTACCTTAAATTTTGCATGTCTGTGATCTTTAAACTTTGCCAATGTTAGTTGCATAAATACTTCTTCTAAAGTGAGTTGGGGAAACCAGAATGGTATTCATGAGTCATTTTATTCTGCACTGATTTTGCATTCAATGTAGGAACACAATTTACGCTTCATGATATAGTGCTCTCATGTGCCTATGTGCACACCATTTACACATACCAATAAATATTAGAGTGCGTTGGGATATTGTGCACTTAATAATGAGCCCCTTATTTGAGAGGAAGAAGTGGTGAGAATCCAAATCCAAGGCATAGAGAAAGCCTCACCCATTTCACCTCTTTTTCCCCCACCCAGAAGATTTTGAAGATGATGGTGATGAAGAAGTGGATAAGGATTCCGATTCTGAAGATGTGAAAGAGGAAGTAGGTAGACCAGCCTCTGCTTCTAGTGATCACCCCATTCACGTCTTACAAAGGCAAATATCACTTTCAGTGTTCAGCTAAGGCCAGTGCAGATTTTAAGGACCTGCGTTTGTACTTCCACTCTAGCGCCTGGCAGAGAGAGATGCTCAATACATGATGGCTGCTGTTACTGATTTCCAAGTTTTCATCTTGGTAGGTCCAGTGTGATATCTCATTGTAAAGTCAGAGGCTATCCTTTATGAAGGCTCTGAGATTCCATCAGGATGAGCCTTAGCTTGGCACGTAATGCTTAGGGTTGGCATGTTTAATCAGTGTGAACGACATTCAGGCAAAGAGACCATGGAAAGATTTTCTAGGAAACTTTTTCAAGTAGATCTCCCCTATCTTCGTAAGTCACTCTTCTTATCTACCCACTCTGCACGGGACCACTGCTCTGTACAATTCCGTTTTCCTCGGTGCCTATGTGAGCTGTGTTCCTTTGAGTTGCGTGGTGTACACTCTGGCCAGCAGGGAAGTGGTACCCTTTGGTCTCTATCCTATAATGACCTATCCTATAGAACAGAGATTAGCACACCTTTTATGAAAGGTTAGATAGTAATTACTTTAGGCTTTGTGGGCCATACAGTCTCTCTCACATCTACTCAATTTTACTGTTGTAGCATAAAAGCAGCCATAGACAGGATGTAAATGATAGGGCATGGCTATGTTCCAATAAAACTCTATTGACAAAAATAGGCAGTGGGACTTCATTTACTGACTGCATTCCTAGAAAAGGGCTTCTAAACATTGGCACTATTGGCATTTTGACTTTATTCTTTATTGCGGGGGACTATCTTGCGAATTTTAGGATGTTTAGCAGCATCTCTGACATCTACCCAGTCGATGTCAGTAGCACCTACCCCTATGCCACCCCACCTCCCCACCCCTAGTCAGTCGTGAACCACAAATGTCTCTAGGAATTGCCAAATGTCCCCCGGGGACAAAATCGTTCATGGTTGAGAACCACTGCTCTAGAATAATAGTTTATCTATGAATTATAATCCTATCTGTTTCTGTTGGTGGACAAGGACTTGGACAAGCCCCTTAAAGTTAAAACTCCTTAATTTTGTCATCTGCAAAATAAGACCGAGAAGTAAATGCTACCTTTTATGCTATTTCTGGAGATGAAACTGTAATTGAAAAAATCTATCTATCTATCTATCTATCTGTCTGTCTATCTATCATCTATCTATACATCCACCTCTCTTTTTCCCTCCCTTCTGTCCTTTCTTCTTCCCTCCCCTCCTACCTACCTATCTGTCTAAGGAGAAAGAGACTTTTTGAGTTCTCTGTCATAGTAATCACTCTCCTTGCTGATGGTGGTGGCAGACATATGGGGACTACCTCCTTGTCAGGTCTCCGGGTTAAGACTGCTATCGACTCTCTGGTGTTCTCAGGGTTTTGTTGTTAAATAGAATCGTTTCTGAAGTCATCAGTAGTAAATTGGCTCTTCGCTGTGGCTCAGCGGTGCAGGCCTATGGAGTACTTGCTGAATTATTTGAATAATACTGTGCTGCAGCAGCCATTCATCAATGCCACTTTCCCCTCCCCTCTTGCTTGCTCTTTGATAACTGACTGTCTGATACAGAGTGCCAGTCGCCTTTTGCATCTGATGTGGAGGGACAAGCTGCATGCCAGCACCTGACTTCACACAGCATTGGGGTAGAGCTTTTAGATTCTTTCCTTTGCCCCACTCTGCAGATCATGGTGGGTTGGGGTGGAGTGGAACCAAAACAAATAAACAAGTCCAACTGGGAAAGAAGCACAAGACAAATTGGCGCGGGCCTGGAAACTATTCATCAAAAGCCTTCAAGCCAAAGAGAAGATAAGAATTCAGTGCGTGAGCATGAGTTGTAGAGAAACGGGAGCATCGGAGTCAGCTTAATTCTGGGATCTTGCAAGAGCAAGGGAACGGGTGCTCCAGCAAACTGGGTTTTCCTTGGTAAACCCAGCAGCATTTTCTGCAAGACATGAGGGCAAGAGGCCAGGAGTGTTTGTTTCTGTTTATGGAACTGACCCAGGCCTTGAACTTGTGGCCTTTTCATTTGAAAATCTTAATTAATAATTGAGACCAGCCTCTTAGAAAGAATGATTAAAAGAAACTTACATCTGTACAGAGTCTTGAGAGTGGAAAGTTGAGTACTGTTCTTTGATTGAAAACTGTCAACATCAATGTAAGAAAAGAGAAACTTACAACAGATACAGACTAGGTATTGGCCATGTGTTTTTCTTCATGGGCACAAATATTAGATTTGGACAAACTTGGAAGAAGAGGAGGATAAACAGAGTGAATTCAAGTTCTCTTCCTTTCCTTCTGTCTTTCCTTCCTTTTTTTCTTTCTTTCAGGAAATTTCTTGGCTATGATCTACGCGTGAGGTAGCATGCTAGGTTCTTAGGGATGGTAATATGATACCAAAGCAAATAAGACAGTTTTTATCTTCAAAGAGTTCCCATCTAGTGAACTTGGGGATTGTCCCTACCAGAGTTCAAACTACCACCTTCAACAGGGAGGTGAACTCAAGTCTAAGATTGGGAAAAGTCAATATCAGAAGGGTCCAACTGAGGAGGAAGGGCCAGATAGCACTCTCTGGATTAGATGGGTACCAAAATCCTAGATGATGAAGCTTGTCTGGGTTGCTGTGAGGACATAGAAGCAAGTCCGTCCCTAAATAAATATAGATGAAATTTATAAGAATACAGAAGGAGGTGAGAACCTGCCTGAGTGCCTGGAGATTCACAGACCAAGATTCAAATCTTTGAGGACCAGAGATGGTCTCTGTTACAACTATTCTACTTTGCTGTTGTACTGAGAAAGCAATTGTAGACAGTACATATATGAATGGGTGTGGCTGTGTTCCAATAAAACTTTATTTATAAAAACAGGCAGTGGGCCATAGTTTGCCAACCCATGCTCTAAGGATAAGTAGGTCACCTAGTCATATATAAAAAGAATTAGGCTGAAGCTTGTGGGTTATATGACACTGCTCGCTCCAGACACACCAACCTTACTAGCTGGTGAGGAGATGCTTCCCAATGCCTGCCAGGTTGCATTTCCATTGGTACCACCCTGGATCATGGCTGAAGCTGTAGGAGAGATGGTGGAGGCAAGGAGGAACAGAGAGATGAAGCTGGAAAGGACAAGAGTGTTGGGCTCTCCAAAACTGTGCTAAGGAGTTTGGGGCTGGTGTGCACTGTACCTGAAAATACCATTAAGTCAACCTCATGAGATCTATTTTTCCTTTAATTTGAAGTTTGGAAAAAAATTGTGGAAGATGATGGCGTATTGCATTTTCTTTTTTCCCTGGATCAGAATATAAACTTTTCTTTTCTTTTGGTGAGGAAAATTGGCCCTGAGCTAACATCTGTTGCCAATCTTCCTCTTTTTTGTTTTTGCTCCCCAATGCCCCTGTACATAGTTGTATATCCTAGTGGTAGGTCATTCTAGTTCTTCTATGTGGGATGCTGCCACAGCATGGCCTGATGAGCAGGATCCAGACTGCCGAACCCTGAGCTGCCGAAGCAGAGCACACTAACTTAACCATTCAGCCACGGGGCCAACCTCTAAACATTTATGTTCTGTATTTATTTGACTTAGGGAAGAATAATACAGGCTGTCAGGGTGGCTAGATTTTTCCTTAACTAACCAAATATACTCTTAAAACTTAAGGTAGATTTTTCTCTCCTATTTTATTAGGGAACTTGATCTAGGAGAGACGAGGAAAGGTGAAGAGACTGGACTGTTTGATTCTTGGTGTCCTTTCTCTCTACGATTCTACAACCTTTGGAAAAAACAGAAGTGTTTGGCGGAGAGTCACCATCACTGTTCAACTGCTATGAAATGATGATCTAGAAGAAAAATAAATGTCTGGGATTATTCAGTGGTGACTTAGTAAGGTTTTAAGTGAACAAAGGGATAAAGGTAGAGTAGGAGGTTACAAACTCCTCCCCAGGACTTGAAAGCCTCGGCAGTACCTGCTTCTCGAATCTTCCTCTATTCTCTATACTTCAGCCACCTTCTTTCTGGCAGCAAATTTAAGCTGTTCCTTCTGCTAGTAACTCCTTCCCAAAGTCTTAGCCCAGTCAGCTCTTGCTGTCGTTTGGGTCTAGTTAGAATGGTCCCTCTCGGGGAGGCTTTCTCAGATCACTCCATCTAGACTGCTTCCATGCCCAGTCTCCGTCACGATCGCTTTGCCCCTTTTCGTCATTTCCATGGCATTTATCACTGTTGGAAATTACTTATTCACTTGTTTACTTTCTTATTTCCTTCTCTCACTAGAAGGCAGTTCCCTGTGCACTTGGACCTCTGTTCCATTGTCACTGAATCTTCAGTAGCTCCAAGAATACCTGCTTATGCTTGGTGCTCATTAAACGTTTGTGAAGAGTGAAGGACCTACACAGCAAAGGTCAATAGGGGACTAGGGATGACAATACGATTACGTTGATGGTAGTGGTGATGAGAGAAAAAAATTTTTTATATCATGCTTTCTTGTTTGCAAAGCTCATCTCATTTTATATAAATTATTACTTATTTATGATGAGGGCTGATAAATACTGACATAAATGATGAGAAAAGTTGTATATCTTCTTCCTTTTTATTTTAAAAATACAACCCAACATATTAAATTATCCTTTGCATAGGCACCATTACAATTTGAAAGCAGGGGAACCACGTCCCAGGATTCTGAGCAATCATATGTGTAGCTTGTCTCGATGCTTCTCAGGGTGGCCTTCTTGACTGTGATATGGTCTGTTGAATATTCCATTGTAGGATGATGACTTGGAAACAGATGTGAACAAGCTGACTTCCAAACCTGGCCCTGACCGACCTGAGGAGGAACTGAGGCAGTATGAGGCGATGTGTCTTGAGCTCTCCTGTAGCTTTGAGGTGGGACATATGCCGTCGTTCTGCTCCTTGGTGATGCTTGGTGGGGTCTTTGTAGAAGCTGGGGGGCCAAATGGAGGTCTCCAGATGGAAGGCATTTCTCATCATTGGCAATCTGCCCCTTAGGTCTTTCTGAGAGAGAAGCAGAAGGCTAAGCAAAAATGTGAAAAATATGTCCAAGCCAGGGTGCAGGCAGGGGGCCCAGAGTCTGACACCTGACAACTAGGGTGGAAGGAGGATGAAAGTACACATTGCTGCCTATTGTCTGGGGGCAAGGTGCCCTGCCCTCCCCACCTTCCACTGGAAAAGCAAGTGAAAATTCCTGATGATTTAATTGTTCCCTTGTCAAAATGCAAAAGTTGGGCTAGCTGGCTTTCTGAAGGTTGCCAGACTGATTTCAGTATTTCTTTGTTAGTGGAAACAGATTGAGAACCTTCATACTTGGTAGTGTTAATCTGGTGGCTAGTTGCTGCTGCTACTACTGCTGTTGCTGCCACCAAAATTTTGGACTTTTTGTTTGGTGGGGGAGGGAAGATTAGCCCTGAGCTAACACCTGCTGCCAATCTCCTTTTTTTTGGCTGTCGAAGACTGGCCCTGAGCTAACATCCATGCCCATCTTCCTCTACTTTATATATGGGACACCTACCACAGCATGGCTTGCCAAGCGGTGCCATGTCCGCACCCGGGATCTGAACTGGCAAACCAAGGTCGCCAAAGCGGAACATGCGAACTTAACCACTGTGCCACTGGGCCAGCCCTTGGACTTATTTTTTCTTATGACTCTTAGTAAATCACGAATTTGGTCACATCTAAAGGTACAATCTAAGTCGCACAGAAAAGGGAGTTAATATATTCTATTTTACTCCAGGAAGCAGAAGGGGATCAGTGTGTAAATTTTCAGGGAAGGGAATTTCAATTCAGTGTAAGGGATATATTTTTTTAAACAATCAGTGATCCTCAAATAAAGGCACTTTCCTTGCTCAGCAGGAAAGGCACCCCCTTGGGGTGCAGTGAAGTCCCTGTAAATGAGATTGTTCAACCAGACTGTAAATTCCTGGGGGTGTTGCAGAAGGCATTTGTGTGCAGTATAGAATTGTACTAGACTTGCCGAAAGCCCCATTAAACTTGAGTTTCTATGATTCCACCATTTATTTGATTCTTGAAGCTTAGACTTTCCCTGGCTGACCTTGGAGAAAGCTTCCCAATTCGTAGGATTTATGCTTAGCTCTGTGCCCAGACAGGGAGGACAGGAATCGAGTTGTATTCTCTGCCTGGGAGGAAACACTAACTGTTCTTTTCCATTTTAAACCTGAAGGATCTGGAGTCCAAACCTGGAGATGATTTGAGCTTTGAGGAGACTCAGTATGCCAATCACCACCACATTCCAACTGCTGCCTCCCTGAAGAGGCATTGCTTGAGTAAGGACCAACTCTCCTGGGGGCAAGAAAGGGAAGACACAGGCCGGACTTCCCTTCTGAGCACAGTGAAGATGGGGAGGTCCTCTGTGCATCTAGCCTCCGGAAAAGCACCTGGAATGAACCCATACCAGAATGCACAGTCCAGTGGTCTTGGAATAGACTCTTCTGGAAGTGAAATCCCTGACATTCAGGCTTTCCTCAATGAGGATGCTTGGGACATAGATGCGATGTCCTGCCCGAGGATGAGTGCCTCCTTTTCCAATTCCACTAGGCCTAGAGATGCTACGGAAGTAATAAATAAGCTTCTGCAGACACATCCCCAGCATATTCCCTTCCATGATCCCTGTCTTTACATGGCCAAAGCCAGAAGAACCAGATCTGTGGCTGACTTCAAGATGATGGCATTTCCTGATCTCTGGGGACACCGTCCACCTCCCTCTGCCCAGCCCATGTTGGAACGCAAATGTGGAATCCAAAGGTGATGGTGCTACTGATTTTAAAGTTATATATTTTTTATCTTCTTTAATACTTTTATAGGTGGAATGGTTTGTACAGATAGTTCTACTCTCTGTAGGAAAGTGAGCATCATGCAGGAGCATATTAAAGCCCTTTGGGCAACTTTTGCTAAACACATGAGCTTGCTTCCCTATTAGGACATTTGAGAAACAATGTGGGGCAGTGGCAGGCATGTGTTTCCTAAAAAAGAATTCCTTGGATGATTCTAATGCAACCCCTTACCCCATATGCATTGCAGACTGCTATGACAGGGAAATATAACCCAGTTTCTCCAAATATGGGGATCATCCCTCAAAGGAAGGTTCTCAGAAAAGACAACTATGGATTATTTGGAATCTCTGTTGTTGTTCACTGCAAATTGGTATCTATCTCCTGTTAATGACACGAGGTGGTGTACCTCCATCCCACAGTCACAACCTTGTAGAACCTGGCTTGGCTTGGAGAACAGTTTTGCTGCATCACTGAAGATTGAATGGAAAAAAATTCATTCTCCAGGGAAGAAACATTGGGTGATGGATCATTCCCAGAATGCAGGAAAGGGAGCTTTGCCTTTGGCTCAGCATAGTGAAATTAAAATGAAAATTAGTAAAGCCAAGAAAAAATTAATTTCCCTGAAAAAAAATTGAATATGCATTCACTAAATCAGTGGAGCCAGCTTGCATTCCAGAAGTTTCCTAAACTTGTCCATTTCATCAATACCTTGATGGTGGATCCCAAGAGCTGCTCCCAGTTGGGCTTCTGGCTGGCTTCTCAGACCTCAACCCCTGCGCATTATCTACCATATTCAAGTTCCTGAGGGACACACCAGAGGGGCTGGCCCAGCATCAGCTTTCCCTTGGAAAGGGCACCTTGCCCCTCAGTCCAGGCCTTTTGTCTCCCTCTCCCTCCCTCTTCTCCCCTCCTCACCCCAAAGACATGGATTGGAAATTCAAGGAGAGAATCTGAAAGATCTTGCTTCCTCCCTTTTAGTTAAATCTCCCAGATATTGTTGTTTCTCAGACGGAAGATTGACCTTAGTCTTCTGGAACAGACAGAGCCCATGGAATAAGCTGAAAGGCTTGTTGGATCCTCATGGATCTTGAGGATGCTAACGGTCAATAATCCTAATGTCACGCTCAAAACTGTCTCAGTGCAGAGGACCCTCTTATTCACACAAAGAGAGAATTGCAAAGTCTCTTAGATTCAATGCTCTTGACAAAACTCTCCTTCAAACCAAGAACCCCCTAATGAAAATCTGACATCACTGCTTCCTATATGCCTACTGCTCAGTGTAGTTTTATTTATTGATAAAGAAGAGGAGGAAGGAGGGCCATACTTTTTTTGCAACCTTTCAGCTCAAAGCTGGGGCATTATTAAACTTTTCTTTCATATTTCTTCAGTGACTCTCAAGGCCCTTCCCAGATGACCATAAGATGAGTGGGGTAAGGAGTGAGGGCCAACCCTTAAAATGTTTCCAATTTTCCTTTCCAGGATCAAGATATTTGAAGATATCCGGAGACTCCTCCAGCCAAGTGACATTATAAATAAAGTTGTCTTCAGTTTAGATGAGCCTTGGTAGGTGGTCTTGAGCATCAGTGGAAGAGGGGGGTATGGAATATTCTGTTAATGATGTGAGAATAAGAGAGTTTTATGCTAGTAATGAATTCATTCTTACTTCTAAAATCAGCAAGATGAAAATTCAGGTTAAAGATCTCTAAGAGAAAGCTTGTCTCTAAGAAACATCAATGTGTGCCCATGAATAGCAATAACTCATATGTTCACATGTTTCTTATTTCATGACAGGCCTTTGCAAGACACTGCCTCTGATTGTTTACGGTTCTTCTCCAAGTTTGAGTCAGGAAATCTTCGCAAAGCCATCCAAGTGCGTGAGTAAGTAAGAAAAGCCACGGGCGTAGCTCCTGGCAGCTCAGGAGAGCAGGTGGTGACCATCTATTCCCTATTCTCTTTTCAGTGATGTTACATTGATAGCTTGAGATCAGCCATGTTGGGAATGTTTACACCATGAAAACTGGCAAACACTGCAAATGAAGGTTTTCCTCTCCGAGAGTCAATTGTTAGACGTTGACCAGCGTACCACTAGGGGACTCCCTAGCTGATGTCGTAACAAGGTGGAGACTAGAGATGAACTGTTATGAATATGCCTATGTTCCAAATAATGGGTCCATATTTTGGTGTGAGAGCACTTTGACTGGGATGTTTATACTTCTGTTGATACCAGCATTGGTTCTGTTGACATGGCAGCATACACAGGGTCCCCTATTCCTGTACCTTCTCATGTTTGTTGCTCCCGTAGCTGTGTACATAAGTGACAAAAACCTTGGGCTCCCCATAGAAAAGTGAGCCATCCTTCATTCAAGGGGATGCTCAGTGCCATCCCTCTCTGAAGAATCTATCAATGGGCTCTTATTAACAGAAAAGGATTTCACAGGCAAAAAAGTCTAGAGCTGCGCAAAGTAAAAGGAGGGAAAGAAAACAAAAATTTCCAGTCCCTTGCAGGCAGAAGAGACTGTTGTTCTTGTTATAATTCTTTCTATTATAACAGTGCTGACTTGCTACATACCAAAAAGCAAGATATATAACCCATCTTCTCTGGGTGAACTTCTAAGAAAACAGTTTAGAATAGTAATGGTGTTTAAGTCTCGGAATCAGACTTTACCTCTTTCCAACCACGGGACTTTGAGCAAGTTACCTAACTTGCTGCATGCCTTTATTTCCCCACCCACGAAATGGGACAGTCATAGAAGCCATGTCACAGGGATTTTATGAGACTGAGGTAACATACATACAGCTCTTAAAATAGCACCTGGCGCATGGTAAGCACTCAGTCAACCTTAGCTCTGACTCAGGGGTGCATGTTCACCACGGCTGGAGCTCCCCATTTAGTAAAGCTCAGACCTGTGTTGTATCCACCTGATGAGTTATTTTTGAAGTTTTCCATTTTTCAGGGGAGGTGAATGGACATCCTTTTTTTTGTATATGGAGTATTTCAAGGAAGCCCAACATGTAAAACCTGTAGAAATTGAACTATTTGGGCTGGAGAAGGGAAGGGCAGTTATGTGAAGATTCCTTCTCAGCCTTCTTCTCTTTCTTGTTTGTCAGCTCAGTTTCTACTTCTTCCTATGGCTCCTGCTTTTACTATTCCTTCTGTCCATATATCATGTTCAAAGCATCCGGAAGAGGAGACCTAATTAGGAGTCTCCTAGTGGGACACTGATCAATCCAGCATGTGCCTGAGCTGCTGGCCTCGCTCGGGTCTCTTTCTCCATGCATCTGCCTTTGGTCAGAGTGTAGAATCCTAAACCAATCAGTGGTGGTCAGGGTAACATCAAATGACAGAAAACAACCTTCTTACAGGAAAAGAAATTTTATGATTACTTTTTGGAGAGAGCATTGTGGGCACAGCAGATGATTTGAGGGTCATAGATTTTCCAGAATTGTTCTTATGAGTGCCACTCAGTGGGTTATGCTTCGTTTGTTGTATGGTGAGTTCAATGGTTAGAGTGTGACGCTTATGGTGATAGTGTGAGGGGTCAAACTCCATCACTTAGCTCTGCTCTGCTTGTGTCTTACATAAAGCTCTACCTTTCTACAGATATCACTGGAGAATGCCATTTATCAGGGGTCCAGAGAGGGAGAGTAGGAATGGCTTAGGGGAAAACCATTACCTTTTCTAGAAGAGCATACCAAGGAGATGGGACACTCATATTTTTGCAAATGAAATATCCTGATGATAAGGTTTAAGTCAAAACAGCATTGCCGATTCTGTTGCTAAAGCTCAAAAAAGTAATTACTTTTGAAGACATAGTGACTGGGAGAGGACATGAGACCCTCCTGGGGTGCTGGAAGTGTCCCATATATTGATTTAAATAATTGTCAAACAGGTGTATCCAACAAATTTGTTTAAATTCATTGAGTTGTACACTTAAGACTTGTGTACTTTACCGCATGTAACTTAAATCAATTAAAAAGGGAAAAAACAAACACACGACTCCTGAGTTGGTAGCTTAATTCATGTTTGTCACTTTGCTGGGGATTTACATGTATTATACTACTTAATCTCTACAAACAGCACTGCAAGTTTAGACACTATTTCCATTTTCCATGTGAGGAAACTGAGGCTCAAAAGTAGTGTCTAGCATCAAATGGTAATGGTATATCCAACCAGATGTGACCGAATTTTCTTGCATTTTTCCAGCTAGATAGAAACTTCATTACAGTTTTTAAAAAAGATATGCTGCAGTTGTGTAACTGACTCTTCTAGTACCAAAAAACCTGCTCCCCACCCCCTGAATTTCCAAAGCCAGTGTCCAATATTGTGAGATAGGATGACAACTATAACAAACCAGCCACCTGAGCTCCTGGGTCTTAGATCTGTCATCCGGAAGCTGAGATGTGTAGGTTCTCAGTGTTGGAAGTGACCTTAAAGACTTTAACCCTGCGATCTTGCTTCTGCCTTTGCAGGTTTGAGTATGACTTGTTGGTCAATGCCGATGTGAACAACACCCAGCACCAGCAGTGGTTCTACTTCCGGGTGAGCGGTATGAGGGCTGCTGTCCCTTACCGCTTCAACGTCATCAACTGTGAGAAGCCCAACAGCCAGTTTAATTATGGTAAGAGCTTCTGGGGTAAGACTTTCTGGACAACACCAGGAATGACATCACTTTGTGTTTGGATTATTACCGGAAGCCCTGCTTGGGTTCCCAAAGGGCTTGAGGTTGGGCTGACACATTTTGGCTGCCAGGAGTGGCAGGAAGATGGCCAATCTATGACAAACTGCTGCTGTGGAAGGGGAAGCTGGAAATCCTCACTCTGCCATGGAATGTTAATGGCACGCAGAACATTCTACTACTTCCTGACTCCTCTGCCCCACTTTGAACTTTGTGAGGTTGGTGAGCCCTCACATTTATTCCTTCTCTCCATTTCCTAAACCCACAGTAGCAAATGTCTTGACCTGTTGGTCACAAGACCGAAGAACAACAAAGTCCAATCGGACAACATTAATTTGCATTCTAAGAAACTCTGGAGAAAGTTTAAATTCTCATGGCTATCTGTGGCCATTTTGGAGGAGACATTCAAGGGACAAAGACTGCTCAGTAGCCTATATTTATTTGGAATGTTTCCAGGAATGGGAAATTCTGTGTGGTATTGCTGGCTCATATACCAATTTGTTGCGTGGTTTTAAGTAAAAAGTAAGTTATTCCTAGATCTCTAGGATACTAGGCACAGGATACTGCCTCTATTTACTAACTAAATAGACCCCTGCAGGTGTAGAAAGAGAAAATATGAATCTTGACTCTTGTATTCGCTTTGTGTGGCTGCTGTAACTAATGTCACAAACTTCGTGGCTTAAAACAAGACATTTATTCTCCTACAGTTCTGGGGTCCACAGTCTAAAATCAGCTGCACTGGGCTAAAGTCAAGGGGTTGGCAAGGCCATGGTCCCTCTGGAGATTCTAGGGGGTTTCTGTTTCCTTTGCTTTTCCAGCTTTTAGAGCTACATTCCTTGCGTTCTTTGGCTTATGACCCCTTCCTCCATCTTCTAAGCCAAAACTTCTTCAAATCTCCCTCTGCTTCAGTCACATTTTCTCTCTTCCGTAACCGCCTTCTGGCTCCCTTTATAAGGACGTTTGAGTGCATGTATCCCACCAGGATAATCGCCTCATCTCAAGATCCTTAACTTATCACATCTACGAAATCTCTTTTGCTCTAACAGGTAAACATTCACAGGCCCCAGGAATTAAGACCTGACATCTTTGGGGGCCATTATTCAGCCTACCACAGCTCTCTTTCTCTTTTCTCTTTCCCTCATGGATTAAGTCCTGCTTTTATTTTGTGTAGGGATGCAGCCAACTCTGTATTCTGTGAAGGAGGCTCTTCTTGGCAGACCCACCTGGATACGGATGGGCCATGAAATCTGTTATTACAAGTAAGTTAGAGTGTTGTTAGTGTCCTGTTCTCTGCTCTTTCATTCCCTCTCAATTTCCTGCTTTTCCATGTTGATCTTGTAAACCTTAGCAATCTGTGCTTGTCTGCTATACTTGTTGTCGTTCTGTTCCAATGGGAAATACCCTGCCCTTCAGAGGCAAAAGCCTGTTGAATGAGACCCCCAATAAATTCCAAGAAATATCTTTTGATTTTTCTGAAAAATCGTCGATCCTCATTTAAACACATTAAAACCTTTAGACTTGTTGTTGGATATTAGAAGTTGTACAGGCTCAACCTGTCATTAGGGCATCAAGCCTTGGTTCTACACCTGTTTCCATTGGTTCCAGTGCATGAAAAGGCTGAGATGTTCTGGCCTATTCCTATCCATCCTGTGCTTCCATTTGCCAAAGTACTTGAGAGTAAATATGTGACAAATATACTTAAGTAACTGTTCCTACACAGCATGATGATTTTCTGGAAAGAATAAAAGAGGGAGGTTTTCAAAATTCATCTTCAACCCTTGATCAGTAGCCAGTTTCATCAATTTATCCTGTAAAGTTGTAATGAAATTTAAATTATCCATAACTTTTGATAAAAGAAATGGATTCCAGATCCATGAATTGCTTATGTGTGCATTTTCTTTTGATGGAAAATAAAATTCAAATTCGTAAGAAAAAAAAGATAGGAATTGTTAGGACAGGTAGAAACTATGTAATTAATTATTAGCTCATTGTTAGTTTCTTATAAAAACAGGTAGGCTAGTATTTATTTTCTTGGATAAAGTAAGTCATCTCTTTCTGAGATTACAAGAGGCCTCTAAAAAAGCATTATCAGACATTCTCGAGTATAGGATTGTTATCAATATCAAAAAGAAAGAGAGTATGTACTCTTATGCCTCTTGGCTTTTGAAGCTGTGAGGACAGGATGCATAGAAAAGGTCAAGAATCTTGTTGCTGTGTCAGACACAAAGGCAAAAATCACCATAGAGATAACAATAGTCTACAAAACAGAGAGCTAGGCCGACTAATAGTTTGTAATAAAAGAGTTGGCAGTCTTCAGTGCTTGATGTATTAGGATATGGACCTGGGTAGCAATTTCATTATATGCCTTAGGACAGTAACAAAATATTACAATTCTGTTGGTTTTCCATTCCCCTGTATGGCTATTACTCTCTGGCCTCCCTATCTTGAGACTCTCAGGATCTTTTTATGGTCCAAAGAGATTTAAACTAAAATCATCTTGAGGTGATAGAGGCCACAACTGCAAGAAAATATAATGAAAGCCTAAATTTGGACCTGTGTCAAGAATAACTTTTAGTGTCCTCTGAAAATGATAACCCGAAATAAACGTGAAAGACCCGGCTTGCAGCTGGCTTGGATCTGGAGCTTAGTAAGAGATGGGCAGACATAGCATTTAGCATCCTTTCCCAGTGGAGTACTCCTCTCTCTGGAGGCTGCTTGTCTTGGAAGTGGAGAATCAGGAGCAGGCTTAAGGGGACTAAGCATCTGCCAAAAGGAGAAGGAAGAAGAAGCCACATGTCTAAAATCACAGCCTTGGCCTAAGGAAAGCCAGTGTTAATGTTAATAGCTTTTAGATTCATTAACAAGACAATTGTTATGTGATTAAAGAGCAACAGAGGGGTAATATGAAAACCATGAATGTGTAATGTAATTCATTTTTCATATTCCAGCCATGAATACAACAGAGATGAAAGGATAAGATTGCTACATTGTACTGTAGTTTGTTTTACAATTGTTCACCACATTGTGTTAACAAATTTCCAATAATGTGATCTAACAACAGGATAGATATGTGTATCTCTATTCAACCACAAATCAGAACACCTCTCCCTACTGTAGAGTGCCATAGATTATACAATCGATTTCTCCCCTTTTACCCATCACAATCTTTGAGTTGATCTGCTTTAGAAGATTTCTTTGTTTCGTTCCTGCCTTTATTGTCTCTGATGTATTAATTTGGGAGAACTTTACTTCCTCATTTCTTTGTCTCCAATATGTCAACAGAAACTCAGAAGTTCTATTTCTACTATGCTGTCAAATTCCCAGATTTAGTGCCATGTTCTAAAGGGGTGCCAGGGTGCTCATGGTGGAGAGAGAACCATGAGCCACGTACCTGGATATATATGGAGGGTGAAATCAAAAAGGACGCTTGGAAGGAATAGGGTATTCATTTCCTTCAAAAGGTGACAGCAATGATGATCCGTTAAGGAGGTGGGCTGGCTGCTTTGTGGGTCCGGTCATCATCGTTAGAAAGTGGTCTCTGAACTATTTTGATAAGATATATTTATGCATGTACTTCTAATATAGATTTGTTCATAAATTATCTTTTAATCAATCATATGCACATTACTATATTATGTTTACTCAATCATATGCACATTGCTATGTTATGTTTAGTCAATCATATGTACATTACTATATATTATGTACATTAGAAACCGTAAAAAGTTAAGAATTTTAAATGATGAGGAAAAAAATGAAACAAATAATAATTTTAAATGTCTACCTAATTGTTAAATTTTTATATTATTGATAACTCAGGGCATACTATACCCTTAGGGTTTACCGTGAAAAATATAGTTGGAAATAGTCTTTTGGATAATTTTGAAAAATTTGCGTTAACTTCCCAGATCCAATAAGATTATTTTTATACAAATAAGAATTCTTAAGAAAGAGCTAGTATTAAGAGTAGGAGATGGGTCATGTGCGTGTTTCCAGTTTCTTGGTCATTTGTGCTTGAAATTTAATATTATCATCAATCTATGGCTTCTATGCAGAATTAAAAAAAACCTAATAGTCGATATTGTGAAGTTTAGTTTAATTTAAATCATATGATCTGTAAATCCACTAAAGTAGGCTTCTGCAAACTTAAAGACCTTGCTAGAAGCTAAAAGCAAAAGAATGAGGGAGGTGGTGAGCCGTTTCCACTCTTCCCTCGGGAAGCCTCCATATGAAAACCATAGATGTAAAATGTAATGTACTTTTTTATATTCCAGCCCTCTAACAACAGAGAAGAATGGATAAGATTTCTGTGCTGTAATCTAGTTTGTTCTATAATTATTCATCTCATTAAGTTGACTTGGACCGCATAAGGGCAGTGGTGTCGATCCCCATATTAAACCTTAGACAACTTAATTTCTTTCTTATTACCTAGCTCATAATAAATTTAAGGAGAAATTCTAATATTTTCTCCCTGTGTTCAGTCAATCATCTTGCCCTTCCCCTGCAGCACCTCTTCCCACTATGAGACCCCCCTCTCCCACCCACCTTGCAAACCACTAGGCCAGAAAATAAAAAGTGATCTTCTGGAGGGACGAACATAGATAGGCAGACACATTTTTCCATGCCTCTCTTAAAAGTAAGCAGGGATAGTTTTCATTTCTGCTTTATTTACTTCCCTGTGGTTTGCTTGTTTCTCTAAGGTACACACCTCACACCTTTTCGAATTCTTTCCCAGCTCTGGTCTAAAGTAATTTTGGTGCTGAAGGGCAGAGGGAGGGAAGTGACATGCTCAGAGTGGCCATGTAATACACAACGGCTGATCTCTTCTGACATTTATCTCTGCTCGTGAGAGGAGATGGAACAGCTCACTCATGAAGATGAATGTCATACAAGAGCTCTGCCATCACGCATCCTTCCGAGGGATCTCAGGAGAGAGATTTGGTGTTATATAGAATAATAGAAACCCTGCAGACACAGGGAAGCCTGGCCACTTGGCTGCTCTGCCGCATTAGATCCTGTTAAGTGAAATGATGTACCCTTGTTAAACAGAGCCATTGCCATTATAAGATTATCTAATTCACTCTCTATCTTGGCATCTGCTTACTTCATGCACGCACAGAAAAAAAATGACTTCCCAGCATATTTTTAAGTACAAATGAAAATAGATTGAGTTCATAACTATGCATTTGTGTACTTTGCTCCTTGCTTCATTGAAGGCTTTATGATTATAAAAGTGCAGATCTTTCTAAAGATAAATGGTTCAGGGAATGGAAACACAAAGGGGAGCTTTTAAACTGTGGAATGGCTAGATCTAACCAGCCTGGGTCATCTTTGACCCAAGATGACGTATGTAGGATCTGGCAAATCGGAGACCACACTTGATTTTCGTCAGGCTTCTTCTCCACCTAGAAGGGTAGATTGAGGAGAGAAAGTACTTGGAATCATTAATGGCGTGACCTTGGGAAAATTATTCCAACCTCTCTCAACCTCAGATTCCTTATCTGTAAAATGGGATAATAATGGTATCTACCTGATAGAGCTGTCCTGAAGATTAAGTGAAATGAGATGAAGCATGTGGAAAGCTTAGAACAGTGTCTGATACACAGTAGGTGTTCAACGAATGTTAGAAATTATTATTAACAATTAGTGGAACATCTGGTGGCATCAAATACCAATGACGCAAAGAATCATAATGATATGGATCGTTTTCACCAGCTCTCAGATGGGTTCTTTTACATTCCTTTTGATATTTTGGACTTTACGTTTATAGGCAGCCCTGATTTATGAAGACCAAAACTTCAAATTCTTACTTGCTGAATTGGATCAAAAGCCCTCTTGTCTTTTTATCTGTGCCTAAGAGATGGATGATGTAATGAAAATAATCTTGGTCTTGTGGTAAACTCATACCTGGGGTTGAGTCCTGCTTTACTATGCTTGTTGTGTGGAGTTGCTCAAGACCTTTAATATCTGTGAGCCTCAATTTGCCCAGCTGTAGAGTGTGTGTAATAATACCTTGAAAGGATATCATTAGGATTAGAGGTAAAATACGTTAAGCATCCTAATTATTACGCTTGGAGTCTAAGGCCATTTATTCTACAAACATTAACTGAACAGCTACTAAGTTCAGGTACTGTGCCAAGTATGAAGATACACAAATGCATAAGCATAAGCCCTGCCAGAACGTGTCGGCAGTGAGCGAGAGGCCCAGTGCGATAAGAAGTAGGCAAAAGGGCAGGTATCTGGGAAGGCTTCCTGAAAGAGGAAACACTTGAATCTTGAAGGAAGAAGAGGAGTTGGCTGAATAAAGAAGGAACGAGTCCTCTTTACAAAGGAAGAACATGGAAACCTTTTAAAATATGAGGGATGAATGTTACTGCCTTACAAACATCCCTCAATATGTTCACATCATAGTTGGGAAAACAAAAATAACTTGTTGATGAGATCTTGCTTTATCATGGACGAATTGAGTTGTAGCGAGCCAAGTGTTTCCCTTTAGAGACATAGCAAATGTTTCACTTTGAAGAAGGTGATCTTGGGCAAGTTTAAAAATCTCCCAAGAGGAAGGTTTCGTTAGAGTCAAGTCACCTGGATTCTCCTTCTATGGTACCACCGCCAGGAGACGCCAGTGAGGAAACCTGATTCCTTTAGCTTCAGCTAAAGTTTAGAGCCTGGACTAGGATTGTAACTGAATCTCCTTTAGCGGAACTTCACCCTAAATGAGGTGATATGCATTTTCCTTAAACTCAGCAGTCTGCAGCCATCCTGGAGAGGGCTGGCTTTTCAGTGGGGAGCGTTTAGTCTTGCCCACGAGAATCTTGCTCACTAAGCTACAGCAGTGTATGTGTGTGTGTTGAGGGGAGTGAGAAGGTAGATTTCAGATAGCTAAAACCACCATTCGAATTCCTTACCCTTACCTTAAATCGCTAGGACCTGGGCCCGCAGATGCTCAGAAGCGGAGGATTATCCCATTTAATTTCTCCTTCACTGTAGCTGCTCCTTCCCTGGAGTGCAGGTTTGGTTGGAATGGCAGCAAGAGCATAGGGATGTGGATTTCACATTCTCACTTCCTCTCTCTTCCTTGTTCTTGCCTGTGGCTGGTGGGGTAAGGTTGAGTTGGCTTCAATGTGCCTGTGATTTCAGTGTCTTAGTAGTACAGTGGGAAAACTAAAAAGAAGCAAGACTCATGTCAAAGCAGACTACTCCCATGGGCCCTCCTGGGCATCTACTAATCTTGAGGAAAGAAGCAGGCTCTGTCTCCACTGTTTGCGGGTGAAGAACTTGGGGATGGTGAGGCACCAGATGTGTGTTTCCACCTGCCTTTACATTCATGAATATGTCTATGTGGATGTGTGCGTGTGCACATGTATGCATTTGTCTGCTCACACATGTATGTTTCCAGATGAAACTCTCTTCCACATTTTGATTGGTTGTCAAAATTTTGGCCATTTTGACTGGCTCATTTCATTTCGATTGGCTCTTCCATCGTAGAAGGGCATAATTGACTAGGTTCAGCTAGGTGTAAACTGAATTTGTGTTTGCAGTGGAGCCTTTACTAGTGAAATCAGAAAGAGGGTAAAAGGTAGAGCGTATATGGCTTGCATGCTTTCTGAGCTAACATCTGCTTCTTTACATGCTGTCTAATAACCAGAGCGCTAGCTCTGGAGTAACTATAGAACTTTGGGGAGATCTGGAGAAAGTGGACCCAATTAGATATCAAGATTAGATGGCAGCAGGGGTGAAAATGCCTTTTTGAAGTTTCTAGTCCTATAATCGCCAAGGAAATGACCCCTATTAATGTGATGCTGAAAAGCTGGCTAGGATAGTCACTTTGGGCTTACACTGTGGTATCCTTCTTTCCCTAGAATGACCAAGGCTTGAGGATGCTGTATTGGCAGAAACTGAGGCAAGAGAAATGTATCAGGCCATAATTCATGGGACTACCACTTCTCTTACTCCCATTCTTAGTTTTATAAATATCAAAACCCCACAAAACCACAAGAAACAAGATAGTAGACTTCTATTTCCTCCTCTCTTCCTTGCTTGATCGTTTTGCTTTGGTGGTAGTGGGGGGTGGCACGAAGGCAGCAAAAAGTCAGAAAAGAATAATCCATGTTTTTTATATTCTCAAGAACAAACAGAATAATTACATCATTTTTTTCCTCTCCCCACTCTTTTCCCCAAGAAAATCCAAAAGCACAATGGACTTGTAAGCCAATGTTGTAAATGTTCAAAGGTGAAATTACATCTTTGGTGTCCGGGTGGGTTTTGCATTATAATGCAGCCTTGATGACAACATTTCTCAGGAAAGCCTGCACAGCTCTCTCAGCATCAACAGACAAGGCGAGAGCATAACTGGCGGTGTGTGGGGAAAATATTGCTCAGAATGTACTTCTGGGTGCAATTTACTTTGATACTTTTCCTGAAGTATCAAAATTGGTTCTTCATCTTTGATAAAGGAAAATGTGCATTCCCAAGCTATAAGAAGCCGAACCATATTTGGGGTGACAAACATATTCCTTTGGGAAGAAAGTATTGTGTAGCGGAAAGAACAAAGGCTTTGCAGACAGACAGATCTGGGTTCAAGTCCTGTATTGACCACCTACTAGCCCTGCGACCTTTGACAAGTTAGTTTTTCTAAGCTTTTGTTTCTTCATCCACACAATGGGTTGTTGCAGTGATAATGTAAGATGATTTGTTAAGTGTCGAGTTGGAACTCAGCATATAGTAGTGATGGTTTGAGTTGGAACTCAGCATAGCGGTGATTCCTGAGAAGCCCACTTGGCAGGTGGAAGGGGAAAGAGGAGCTGTACTCTGTGTTATCTGGGGAGAGGCAGGGGTTGGAGGAACACACATTTGGGTAACAAAGTGTATGTCTGCAATAGAATTCCAGGAAAAACAGAATTATTCACATTTTCCTCTATTTTCTAGCTCAGTGACTCTGTAGCCTTCATTTTCAGACACAGCCAGGAAGGCCCCATGGCATATATGCCACAATTACGAGACAGATGGACCAGCTTACACGTTGCTGATCTGGCTCATGACCTGGCAGTAAGCTCATTTGTACATTTCTCTGTTTTCTAAATTCCACCCAGAGTGTTTTGCCAGTATGTAACACAAGAGGTATATAGCATCTGGAACCCCAAATGACTGTTGCCCCACCTCTCCCTCATTCTCCTCTCTTCTCCTTTCTCTTCTAGAAATCATTATCACCAGAGTGCAGCTGTCACAGGGGGAGCATCTGGGAAGTGTTATTATACCCTCACGTTTGCTGTCACCTTCCCGCATGATGAAGATGTCTGCTACCTGGCCTACCACTATCCCTATACCTACTCAGCCCTCATGGTAACTTCCTCTTTACAGCACTACCCCAGCAGGACCAAGGGGCTCCTGGAGGTTTTGCTGGGGACATTCAGGAGACATCCTGGTGGGGAACTTTGCCTTCCTGAGGGAGCCAGGGTTTGTTGTCACTGACTTGGTGGCTTTATATTTGTCCGCTCTCCTTCCTTGGACAGAGCATTAGGCTGAGGTAATGACCGTGACATTCTGAAGGCCCAAGTGGCATGTGATGTGCCTCATTGGCAGGCTGAGCATAGGCGGCATGGGAATTTCTCAGGGGCTCTATAAGATGCCCTCAAGTTAAACATGAAGTAGTGAGATTGGAGTGGGATTATCAAGTTGAAATGGGGTAAAGCAATAGCATAAAGTGAGATGCAAATTTAGAGGACATTCACTCATTGAGAGGAGGGAAGCAGAAAGCAGGAAGATGAAACTTGGAAAAACTCTCTGAGTCTGTGAGCAAGCAGCCACTTCAGCTTTCCAGTGGTTGCCATGGCCATGGGCTGGAGGCTGCAGGAAGGGTTGAAGCTGGACAAAAAGTGAAAGAAGAAAACACTGAGTCACTGCAAATGAGGGCCACAATCTTTTTATGCAAGGAGTGTAGTGTAAGTCAGCCCAAACTGGAAGTTACCATTCTTCTGTCTATCAGACCCTGCAAAATGTTCATTAGGCAAATTCCAGCAAACTGCTTAACCCATGCAGTTTTCTGTCATTTAAAACAGTTGGCAAACTATCCCTTTCCCCTAGCTATTTCAAGGATATCCTGAGGATTAATGAGCTAAAGTATCTTCTATAAAGCACTTTCATCCTTCGTGTTAATGCAAAATGTTATTAGCATATTTATAATAATATGTGTATATATGAGTGTATGTATCACTTAGCCTGAAGGATGAGCATTTTCATTTTTAAGTCTGTGATAAGGAGTTGGGAAAGATAATAACCAAGAACATCTTTGCCTTCAAAAGGAATGTGCAGGTATAAATGAAAATTTTTCTCCATCGAGAAGGATTATCTTAAACCACTTGGCTGACTGCTTCCTGAGAGTGCATCTATCCTGCTCTCCATATGTTGTCTTGCCTAAAGAGAGATTTTTACTGTTTTCCAGATTGCAAAAGATACACAACTAGTATTATTTGTGTATCACACTTAGAGATCGCAAGAAGTTAATCCAAGAAATGTGCATCACAAGCTATGCTGCAACAAGCCATGTTTGTTAGAAAACATGCTTGTTGCCTTTAGGGACCCAGAACAGTCTAGATTCATGATCCCCTTCAACAGCTGCTTTTATTGTCTTGCCTGTGAAACAGCGCACAGGGAAAGTCTTCCAGGAAAGGGATTCCTGTTTGAATGTGTGTTTGCCTTTTCCACTGGGGGAATGATCCGTGGGTCCAGGACACTGTCTTTTCACTTGTTAGGATATCTTAGACCCTGCTGAGATTCTCAGTGTTCGTATATAAAACTTTACAACACAAGAGATTTGGGAAATTGTCTAATTCAGCCTTGTTATTTATAGATGCAAACATCGAGGCCTAGAAATCTCACATCTAGCTAGTAGCCAAGCAGAGAAAGAGCACTGGCCTTTGACATCTGTTCCTGTGCTCTTTCCACTTTACTGTAGAGGAATGTAGAAGGAATTCAAAAGAACTTCTGCTCTGGGATCAGATCAGTGTCCTTGCTTGCTGTCACATACACTAGCTACTACAACTGCAGTCCACTTTTATAGGCACAGGTTGTCATCACGGTGTGTGATGATATAATCTCTGATAGTTGAGTTGAAGTCATTACCCCATGGTGGTTTCTATCTATGATGCTGAGTGCGGTGGATGTGGTTCATCTGGGTAGCGTTGTTCACCAAACATGGTCCCATTCTTATTCCAGAATGCTCTGATGGGTTCTTGCTAGGTGCCTACGAGCTGAAACTCCTTCAGCCAGGCATTGACTAAATCTGGCTTCTTACTCTGAATTTCAGACTTTGAATCAGAAGGTGGACACCTAGCAAGAACCCATCAGAGCATTTTGGGATAAGAATGGGGCCATGTTTGGTGAATAACACTGTCCAGCTGAATCACATCCATGGCACTCAGCATTATAGATAATAACCGTGGGTTGATGACTTGAACTCAGCCACCATCAGAGATTATATGATCACACAACTTGACGATGACATGTGCCTATAAAGTACCTACTGCAGTTGTAGCAGCGATTGTAAGTCATAGCTTGTGCCTCTGGGATTCACGTAGCTTTTGTGCTCTTCTCAGATCAGAGCTCAGGGTCTACAGTTTACAATCAACAAAGAGCTCAGGAGCCACTGGGATCAATGTAGGGGTAATTTCATCTTGAGGAGGGACAAAAACACAAGAAAAGAGAACTCCCTTCCCCCAGAAACTTGGTCTCCATGAGAGGGAGAGAGAGGTCTTGTTAATTGATGCTCAGTGGCTTGTTACTTAGCCTATTGACTGTGAATCTTTTCCCACTAGGGAGATTTGAGGAGAGTTAATGAGAAAGAGAGACAGGAAAGGGGATAACTTTTCATTTCTCCTAAATGAGTAGAACAGAGTAAGAAAGACAATTTGTTACTTGAAAGTGAAAAATGCATATACTCATTTTTAGGTTTTACATTTCCAATAATGCATGGTCTTTGTCTTCCCTAGGCTTAAGACAATAATTGACTCTGTGACTTCTCTTAAAAAACCCTTCTTCCCATCATGGACAGAATGAGTACATTCTGTAATGCACGCTAGTCATTTTTATTTTTGGATATGTCCTAAGGAGAAACGGTTTTTCTTCCAACAGATCAGTGATAAATTAAATGTGAATGATACCCTAAGGGCAGAATTAACTGTATGTTACTTGGGGGTTATGCTGAGGGGCAGAAAGTACATTTCTACGTAGAATTCATGATTTGTAAATCTCATAATATAGACTATGTTTGATAATTACAGACATTTTTATAGCAGAGGACATGCATGTTGGATGTTTTTCAACATGAACACAATTTTGCAACTTTAAAAATTTCATTATTCTCTTATAATAAGAGAATTAGTATTTGGTTCTTTCAAACTGATATCTTCCAGATGCTTGCCAGGAACTCTGCTGGATAATTGTCCAAATTATGGTATTAAAATAAAGCTGAAAGAAAGAAATACAATATTATTGCAATTATGAATCAAGCGAAGAAGTTCTATTTTAATCATCCATATCAAGCTATCAACAATTGTAATGATTGTTAAAGTGTTGTTAGGAATACTTGTTAAAGTATTTGGGTTATGTTATGGATTGCCCCTAGGTAGCCAGTAGTATTGGTTGAAAATGGAGCCCCAAGAGAGTTTCTGATGGACATTTTAGAGGGTAGGAAAATGAGATCTCACTGAGAATTATAACTGTATGAGTTGGCAAGAGACAAGAAAAGTGATCATAAGTTGATTCCATATGTTGGGAGAGCTTAAGGCTCTTAAAGGGTAGAGCATGGTTTTTCACCAGACATATATGTACCTACTGTGGTAGATGCTACCACCATTATCCGTAGATATGAAATGGAGTGTAGTGTAGGGCAAGAAAGGGAGAGAGAGAGAGAAAGAAAGAAGAGAGAATTAGAATGCAATATGCACAATCTCATATAAAGGGCTCAGAACAAATGAAGAGTTTAAAACACGTCAGTTGAGAAATGTTGACTCACATGGTAGATCAAGGATGCAATGAGCTAGTCATAAATCAGTGCTGTCAGGTAATCAATAGACAGAGCCTTATCCTTTTCTGGGCCTAAACAAAGGACGGGCACCAATAAAAGGTCCTGATGTTAAGGAGGTGAACATGAAAGGCCATTTTAAAGGAGCCAAGATGTGCATGAAGGGTGAAGTCGTTGATCACACGGACCCCTGACTTCCAAGGTCTTGAGCACAATGTAAGAACAAGTTTTGAAGTCAGACAGGCCTGGATTTGAGTCTGAGCTCTGTGTCTTCTTGCCGTGTAGCCATGGGCAAGCTATTTAACTTCTCAGCACCTCGTTTTTCTCATTCTCTGTAAAACGGGAAACATAAAAGCAGTTACCACATGGGTTGTTATGAAGATTAAGTATGTGACATGGATTTGATACATGGAAAGTGTCAGCCGAGTGTCTATATCTAGTGAAAAAAAACTAGATGGTAAGCAGTAGAGCATTTGCTCTCTTTTCTGTGATGATGTGTGATCGTTTTCTCCATTTGACTCATTGGAAAATGCTCATTCCATAATTTATGGTAAAATAAAAATTAGGTGAAAAATCCGCGTAGGAGCCAGCCTGGTGGCATAATGGTTAAGCTTGCATACTCTGCTTTGGTGGCCCCTCGTCCATGGGTTTGGATCCTGTGCATGGACCGAGAGTCACTTGTCAAGCCATGCTGTGGCAGGCATCCCACATATAAAATAGAGGAAGATGGGCACAGGTGTTAGCTCAGGACCAATCTCCCTCAGCAAAAAGAGGAAGATTGGCAGCGGATGTTAGCTCAGGGCGAATCTTCCTCAAAAAAAAAAAAAGAAAAGGGGGACTGGCCTGGTGGTGCAGTGGTTAAGTTCCCATGTTCTGCTTCTCAGTGGCCCGGGGTTCACCGGTTCGGATCCCAGGTGCGGACATGGCACCACTTGGCAAAAGCCATGCTGTGGTAGGCATCCCACATATAACGTAGAGGAAGATGGGCATGGATGTTAGCTCAGGGCCAGGCTTCCTCAGCAAAAAAGAGGAGGACTGGAAGTAGTTAGCTCAGGGCTAATCTTTCTCAAAAAAAAGTAAAAGAAAAAAGAAAAAAAAAAGAAAAAATCCACATAAAGGACCAAAAGGAAATAAATGCAAAGGCTACTGATGGGGTTGTCTTAGGATGGTTGATTATAATTATTTTTCTCTTTACTCTCTTTTCCAAATCATCAGCAATATAACTTCACTTATTTTTCATGGAAAAAGGATATTAAAATAATCTTTTCTTTCTAATCGGCAAATATGTGGGTAGACACCTAGAGACTAATCATTTCTCTCA